ACCAAATATAAAATAGTGTTTTTTCGCTAAACACTACAAATTAGTTTTATTTTAGTACGTAAATTTTTTTTACGTGATTATTTATTTATTTATGTATTTATTTATTTATGTATTTATATATTATGCGTAAATTCACAGATAAATATTCTCTTAATAGTATTGTAGGAGTGTTACGTGATAGTAAAAAAATAGATACGCATGCTATGTACTGTTACTCATCAATGACACCGATATAACTTAATTAACAACATTTACAAAACTCTAAAATAATTCTTTGACTCTAATATTTTATTTCAATAACAGGTGGTGCAAACGGGAATGTTGGCTTGGATAGTTCATGAACTCGGCGCCTGGCGAAGTTTTTGCTGTACCTAAGAAACAAAAACAGTAAGTCTGTGATCTAGACTATAATTTTATCACCAACATTTATAAAACTCTATCATAATTCTTTGAGTCTAATATGTTATTATATATCAACAACAGGTGGTGCAAACGGGAATTTTGGATTGGATAGTTCATGAACTCGACGCTTGGCGAAGTTTTTGCTGTACCTAAGAAACAAAAACAGTAAGTCTGTGATCTGGAATATAATTAAATTGCCAACATTTATAAAACTCTACTGTAATTCTTTGACTCTAATATTTTATTTCAATAACAGGTGGTGCCAACGGGAATGTTGGCTTGGATAGTTCATGAACTCGGCGCCTGGCGAAGTATTTGCTGTACCTAAGAAAAAAAAACAGTAAGTCTGTGATCTAGACTATAATTTTATCACCAACATTTATAAAACTCTATCATAATTCTTTGAGTCTAATATGTTATTATATATCAACAACAGGTGGTGCAAACGGGAATTTTGGATTGGATAGTTCATGAACTCGACGCTTGGCGAAGTTTTTGCTGTACCTAAGAAACAAAAACAGTAAGTCTGTGATCTGGAATATAATTAAATTGCCAACATTTATAAAACTCTATCATAATTCTTTGACTCTAATATGTTATATCAACTACAGGTGGTGCAAACGGGAATGTTGGATTGCATAGTTCATGAATTCGGCGCTTGGCGATATTTTTGTTATGCCTAAAAAGCGAAAATAGTAAGTCTGTGATCTAGACTATAATTAAATTACCAACATTTATAAAACTCTACTGTAATTCTTTGACTCTAATATTTTATTTCAATAACAGGTGGTGCAAACGGGAATGTTGGCTTGGATAGTTCATGAACTCGGCGCCTGGCGAAGTATTTGCTGTACCTAAGAAACAAAAACAGTAAGTCTTTGAATCATACTATAATTTAATTACGAACATTTACAAAACTCTAAAATATAATAATTCTTTGACTCTAATATTTTATTTCACCAACAGGTGGTGCAAACATGATCTCGACGCTTGGCGAAATTTTTGCTGTACCTAACAAACGAAAACGGTAAGTTTTTCTTGAATCAATCATACTAATATTATAAATCCGAATGTTTAGATGGATTGATGGATTGAAAGATGGATGGATGGATGTTTGTTTGAAGGTATCTCCAGAACGGCTGAACGGATCCGGCTGAAATTTGGCATAGACTTAGAACATAGTCTGGAAGAACACATACGCTACTAAGCTTTTTTTTAATACCGTGTGAACGAAGTCGCGGGCAACAGCTTGTTAATTCATAAATTCACTCGAAGTTCTTCCAATGTTCTAGTTACATACAGAAGTCTGTAATATCTGCCAATCTTTCTGTGAATTGGCGTTGTCTTGAAAGGACTTATTTTATTCTTTCAGATAAACACCAGCTCGGGTGTCAAAGAAGATATGGAACATGAATCGATAGGCAGTCGATCACTGTATTGCAACGATATTGCCATCCCGTTCATTCTCTTTGTATAAAGAGAGATACCAAAAATGTTCTTTTCCATGTGTTACTGTGGTTTTAATCCGCATAGACACTGGTATTGATAATTATCGTTTTCTCTGTTTTTCTCAAAGGGAATGTAAGGGACGTCAATATGGGTCAATACGAGTGTCTGCAGTCGAAACCCATAGTTACGACAGTCAGCCTTGAAAGTAGAAATGGGGGGGATTTAAAAAAAGACTTGGAATTTTGAAGCAAAAAACGTGATTTGAACGTTACCAAGAATGTTGACAATGAAGTGAAAGAATCGGCAACAACATTTTTGATTTGGCCACTTTTTAGTGGCCAAATCAAAAAGGCCATTTGGCTAATATTTCTTTCCCTTTTCCTCTTGTTCCTTCGTCCATTCTCCGTTTATACCTTTTGGATCGCGCACAGACAAAATGTTTATTTACTTTTTAAACAATCTGTGGTTTTTCGACTAC